AAATAAATAAATAAATAAATAAATAAATAAATAAATAAATAAAATAAAATAAAATAAAATAAAATAAAATAAAATAAAATAAAATAAAGAAGCCACTAGATAAGAAACCGTGAAGGATCCGACTCGGGGGCGGGGAGACACTATTGCACACGTAAACATTTTAGCCAATAGCCTCCTTTCCATCCTTTCTTCCTAGAGCCGAATCGGGTTCCTCAATCTGGCGCTCGCCGCAAGACGAAGGCTTTTGAGGGGATAATTTTCAGCCCGCCCCGCATTGACTTCCTCGTCGCGGCGTCGAATCATTCCCAGCCCAACCAGGGCCTTCAGGCGATGTGGGCGGCGCCCATTCAACCCGTTTCTTGTGCTCGTCCCGAATGATAAACCCACCGCCTAAGTAGGCTCGCTCGCCCGCCCGCCGCGGAGACAAAAAGCTGGCTAATGTATGTTTTTCTGTGTGTCGTCGTGCCAACGCAGCCCCCTTCCCCTCAGCCATCCAACGGCGGCCTCCCCCCTCCCGACACTCACATAGCGCTGATAGAATTTGGAAAGGCGCGGCTTCCCATGGTTGTTGAAAATGAGGATCGCTTTAATCATGGTGAGGGCGGCGGTTGACGACCCCCCCACTGAGGCGCGAGGAGGGGGGCTCGCGTAACCGAGTCTGCGGCGCGCGACACGGCAGAAGCTCCTCCTCTGCTCCGCTCCGTCCCCTCCTTCTCTAAGCCTGAAGCGAGCGAAGGCGGAGTCAGAGACAGAACCGTTCTACGGGCTGCAGGCCGAAGGAGAACGTCACTTGACTAACTCGGGTTAACGGCGGCCGGGAGGGACCAAAAAAAAAACCACCGTAGAAGGCTGAACTCACCGTCACGTGCTCCTAATGTCAGATGTTGAGAAAGGGACGGGGGAGGGGCACCACTTCCGCTTTGCCATCACTATGTCGGAGACCAGCGAGAAGCCGGAGACGCTGCCGGTTGCTGCGGCTCCCGGCTGTTCTCCCGAGGAAGGGGGCCGAGGGGAAGGTGGGGAGGAAGAAACCTCTGAAAATGGAGGAGGAGGCGTCGCGGCGGGAGCGCTCGACGCGACTCCCCCCTCGGCTCTTTCCCCGGTGGCCGAAGAACCTACGGGAGACACGAAGAAGAAAAGTAAACCGTCGGGAGGAGGAAAGATCACCTTTTGGGCAGGGCGGGAGTAGGGGGGGAACTGGCCGCCATAGATATAGCAGCTCTTTTTCACCTTTCCAGTTTCCTGTTGATTGTTCCCCTCTCCTTGTGATTCCCAGAGTCTGCATGAAAGTGCTGCCCCCTTCCCCGATCTAGGCCTCCTTACAATAAATTCACATTTTGCTTATTCAGGAACTGAGAAAATTAATAGTAGAACTTTACGGGTTTGACTGAAACTATTCATAGATTCCAGGTTCCCCTGAAATTCTTTTCTAGCTGCTGTTTAAGTCAGTTAATTTAAATTTATATTGTTTCATTTGTTTCCTAGTATAATTTGATTGCTTATTAGTAACCTATGACTATCACTAAGTGTTGATGAATGTAGTCTATTTTATTTTTCTATATGTACAATGAGAGCATATGCACCAAAGACATCATATTTCACTAATAAAGAATTCTATTCTATTCTAAAAAAAGTATATAGTTAAAAGCACAATGTACAAGCTTAGGACCATATGCAAAGCACCTTTAGCCATAATCATGGAGTAGAAGCCAGAGCCCTTTGAAAAGTTGCTAATTTGCATCTTTCAAATGAAGAGAAGCTGTTAGATGCATGGCAATATGTTACATTTTTATTACATTTTAGAACTACCTACATCTTGGAACGTGCAAGGTCATTTTTAAAATCTTAAAGAAAGCCATATTGTGACCTTAATCCCATTTCAGATCATCTGTATTTTAAATCGGTGAAAGGCACCAACTGCGTTTTCTTGCAGTTGAATGATAAACTGGGCAAAAATAAGAAAGGCGATGATGGGGACGGGGTTGTATTGCTCTCTTGCGCTTGGAATTTATCACTATAACAAATCCATTAGTCAAACTCAATTCCATTGTGGGCCGCATCAGGATTGTGTTTGACCTGGGGGAGGCGTGACTAGGGAGCATAGCCAGCTTGACATCACTCATGTCAGGGGTGCCTATGCTGGCCCGAACACGGTGCCAGCAAAAATGGAGCTGTTTTCAGGACGGCCTCATGGGCCAGATCTAAGCATCCCGTGGACCGGATCTGGCCCATGGCTTTTGAGTTTGATACTCCTGCATTAGGCTTTATTATTACAGGTTGTCAGCAAATATTTTAGTGTCTGCAACTGCATTTTATTTCACAATTTTTAGTAGCAATTCTGTATGTAGGTCAGCTGGATATTTCTTTTATTAATATTTTATTAATCATTTCCTGTTTATTGTGATCATGATATTTATCTTGTTTATCTTCTAAATATATATTTTAAATAGAGTAATACAAATTGGCATAATAAGCCAATGGGAACCAATTTGGTGTAGTGGTTCAGATATCAGCTTAGAAACCAGGAGACTAGGATTTCTAAATTCTGTCTCAATCAGTTAGACGATCTTGGGCTTGTCATTTTTTTCTGCCCTAGGAAGGAGACAATGGCAAATTACTTTTAAAAAACCTTACTGAGAAAACTACAGGGGCTTATCGGACATGATTGAGTGGAAGAAAAAAAAATTATAGATTAGGATGTTTGCTTTTATCTCTAAAGCAAACACCCTGTATTTTTTAGACTTCATTCAGTATACTTTAGCATATATCATGTTTGATTTTTCAGTTTTTCTATTTACAATGTGTTCTGTTTTCTAGTTGATGTGTTGCTCAAAGCTGTTGGAGATACTCCTATAATGAAGACCAAGAAATGGACTGTAGAAAGAACTCGAACAATACAAAGCCTAATTGACTTCATCAAAAAATTTCTCAAACTTTTGGCATCTGAACAGCTGGTATGTAATTATGGTCTCATGCTTAAATAAGAAACTGAAGGAAAGCATTTACACTGAGGGATTCCTCCATTGAGCAAGTGGTAACTTTATATCGTAGTGTTTGTATATGGTCTGAGCATGCTATTATATGTACTTTTAAGTCTTAGTCTTGAAAGTAATTATAGGAAAATCAGATTAAATTTTTTAACTGTTTTATTATTTTTACTATTATTTATATTCCAACTCTAAGTATGCCATGGGTTAGAATGCCATTTAGAATGCCAGGAGCCATGGTGGCACAGTGGTTGGAATGCAATATTACAGGCTAACTCTGTCCACAGTCTGGAGTTTGATCTTGACCGGCTCAAGGTTGACTCAGCCTTCCATCTCTCTGAGGTTGGTAAAAAGAGGACCCAAATTGTTGGGGGGAACATGCTCCCTGTAAACTGCTCAGAGAGGGCTGTGAAGTGAATATATACCACATATATATATAAGTCTAACTACCATTGCTATTGCTATTGCATGGACCTGGTTAGAGAATCATTGTGTTGAAACAAGGATATGTTTTTATCTTGCTTATAGTTAACTTACACATTAATGTTTCACTTACCTAAGCTTGCTTAATGGCCTACCCCACGCCTTCCCTTTGCTAGTAATAGGGCCATACTTTTGGGAACGGAAGTGGGATTGAAAAAAGCCTTACGTTCATTTGTCCAGTGTTGTGAAGTAGAACGTTTACAAATTAACCTCAGTAAACCCAAGGCAATGATATTTGCCAAGAAGGTCAAGGAACTTCCACACATGGTACAACCTGAAATTAAATGAAGCAAAATATATATTACAATTTACCTGATTTGGGTTTCTACACAGCTATAAACTGTTCAGAAATAATGCAGTCTAAATTTCAAAGCTACCCAGAAGTATTTTCACAACAGCCTTAAGTACTGGAGGTTGGAGTTCTAAAAGTGGAGAGTTGGGTATGGATCCCAATCCAAATTATAATCTTAAAATATTTTCCCCTGAAAAATCTAATGTTGATTCTACCAGAGCCCATAAAATTTCAGTAGAGCACATGGATTATAGCACATAGGTGATGTACAGTGGAAGCAGCAGCTGAGTATAGCTCTACAAAATACTACCACCTGAAATTTTTCACAAATTCATTAGATTATTGCTGTTTCCTATGAAGATCTAAACATTAAAGGTAATTTACTCTAGCCTATAGAACACATCTTCAAAAAAATTCCATGTGAAGGATGACATCATTATCCCTGTGACATAAAAACAGACGATATTATTCTTGTATATAGTAACATTTACAAAAATCCGAGGGCAGGATTAAATTTCTACTGTTTTGGAAAATTTGAGGGTGAAGAAGATGATATTTACCCATTTATTATTTGATTCTTGTTCAATGCTATGTGCAATGTAAATAAATTTTATTCAATTCCTACATTAGTAGAATTTTCTGAAGATGCCGTAACATATTTTGTGAGAACAGTAGTTTTTATTCTTTTATGTAGTTGTTTATATTGCTATGTATTGGTCAGTGCTCATAAATTTAAATGAGTTGAATTCTTCACAATGACTTCTATAAAGAGTTCAAAATATTTCTTCTGTGTTTTTAATTATTAACAAAAATTATAACTGTAGTAACACAAGCCCAAAAAGGAGGGTTAAAAGAAAACTCTATTCCAAATATTAGAATAGGTTCAAAATTCCTATTTGTTAGAGGTTACAAATTTTCCACTGAGCCCAAGTTATTCTTTTCAATCACCTAAGGTTTAATGATGCCTCATATGATGTGAATGCCAGGAAATGCCAGTTTCTTGGGTCAGCGGTAGGATGTTTTTCTCATTTCAATAATTGCAACACTTTTTGGGGGTGGAGAAAGGAGTTCAGTAGCAGTATAGCCTCTGTCTTGTATTTGGAGATGTTGTTCTTCCCTTTAACCTGATAATCGCAATACAAAATTATCATCAGTGTGTCTATGCTGAATTACTCTTTCTGAATAAGTATAAAATACTTGGATTGTTACGCAACATTTTGAAGATAAAAAAGCAGGAGCATGATGTTGGGCAATGAAACGTCTGCAAACAAACAACCAAGCCCAGGGGGCGTAAGGACTCCACAGAGAGAAAACATGTTAAACATTAAAGGGCATAAAGGACATAATATTGTTGAGCAGCATTCTTGTGTTTGTGTTTAAGTTTGTGTTTGATAAAAAGTTACCAATGTGGTATTTCTTTCTCATGCAGTTTATTTACGTGAATCAGTCCTTTGCTCCTTCACCAGATCAGGAGGTTGGAACATTATATGAGGTGATTACTGGTTTACAAAATCATTTCTGCTTCTTATAGTAGGAATTAAAAGGTCATTTGATGCTAGAAAGTTTAGTATTTGGGGGGTAGATACCAACTTTTAATCAAATTAACCAACAGACTTAATTCTAAAAACTTGCAATACCTCATTTAAAGGCATTAAATGTTCAGGAAATTTAGTAAAGACTTCTACAAAATGTTTTTTTTTTATTTGAATGCACCATATTTAAGGATATAGTTTAAAAGTACCAGAGCTCTCACATGTTTTTAAGATGTATCACACCGAAACAAATAACAGTGTAATCAAAACTTTTTAAAATTGATTGTCCATAGATGGCAGCATTTCTCAAGAAAATCTTCGTATAACTAACTGAACTAACTATTATAAAATTTGCTAATATAAATTTTAATTAAGTATTAACATTTGTTGCTTCACTTCTTGTTAAACTTTTTTTTCTTGTTTTCTTTTCAGTGTTTTGGAAGCGATGGCAAACTTATATTGCATTATTGTAAAACCCAGGCCTGGGGATGAATTAATAGCTACAGTTGCTTAAGACTATTAGATAGTGGATTGTCTAAAATAATCTTCAGAGACATTCCCCATGGACAAATGAAAGAAATGTCTGCACTACTTCTTTTTCTTCTTCTTCTCTTTTCTCTGTAACAGCATAGGAGAAAAGTACAGAAACACATACTGAGGAATGTTTATAGTACAATTTCTTTGATGATTTTCTTGCAGAAATTAATCTGCCATCTTTACAGCTGAATTTAGCATTTATTGTTCCAAGATTTGGCATGTCTGTTCCTGGGAAACAGGTTCATGCCTGACATGGAGAGTACATTTCAGCAAGCTGCGTGGAGTTTACAGTCTCGCTCTTTGAAGGCGCTTTATTGTATATGGAAAGCTTAAAAGCATCTACATCTGAGATAAATGTACACATTTTCTATTTGGTCTTGTCTGTGATTCTTTATTTTAAATGCAATTTATCACACTCTCTAAATGAAACATGCAGTAAATGTTCTCACCATGTATATCTCAATAGGTGCTGATGAGCAAAACTCTGGTCTGCACACCTTCTATTATCATAAACTTCATTTCAACTTACTTTTTTTTTCTTTTTTGGTTTTAAACAGAACTTTGCCAAACATTACTTCTCCATGCACACAGAAAACAAATTTCCCTGTAATTTTTGCATTCTTTTTTGAAGTCTATAAGTGGAAAATAATCACATTCTTCTAATTAAGCTCAGATACAATCTTCATACATTAAATTTGAGAACCACTTCAAAAGCAAACCACATTCAGCATTCTTTCTCATCCATGGTATAAATATTTTTTCTATTGTGTGGCCTTTACTTCTTTCCATTTATATGTTAATCCAAATGTTATGTGCAAAGCCACCTTCCTCATTGAAGTCATATCAACCTTTATATTTCATGTTTATATCTTTCAACAGGTTCCTTCAAGTTATTGAATCTTGTTACATTACTTAAAGAAATAACTATCAAATAATGATCTTTAAGAGTGATCATTGATCAGATTATTTTCTCTATTTTAATGTGAAAAAAGAACTATTTTAATATTTAATCATAATCTTATTCAGTCAAAAGTGAAATTAAGAAATATTTTGCTTTTTAGCTATGGTCTACACTAACTTGTTCCTCTTTTAAACTGTCTAAGCTATTCTTTAATCAAAATTGATAAAGCACGGTTTACCAAACAAGGATTGAATATGGGGAGAAGGGAACCATCTTATATAATTTAAAAGCAGGAAAATTGTTTCAAGCGTAATTGCTGTGAAGGTCAGTCGTTCTCTTTTTGTTTTAGTAAGGATTTTTTGTTTTAGTATTCTTTAAATCCAAGATTGCAGAAATTATTTATTTATGTGTTAAATTTATTTGCCACCTGTCTTGCTGTGGCTACTACAGACAGCTTCTGAGAATTTTCTATAATATGTTGCAGTTATTTCATGGTTTTCCTTACTCCCTCTCTCTTATATTCTCATGTATTTATTATAAACAGTTCTTTGCTGCCTCACTGTTTGGAATCAGTTATGAGCAGTTCAGATTCAAAAGCAGAGTAATACTAATATAAAATCATAACAACATGAATCAGACAGATCCATCTCATCCTCACCTCAATTTCCAAATACACATTAAAGCATTATGTTTTTAAAAGTTTCTTGCATGTGCTAGACTCTTTCTATATGGCTCTTTTATTTGGTGGAGAGTTATTCCACAGAAAGAGCTTTACTTCTTTAATTTAGGTTCAACATGGATGACCTAAGATCTTCCATTTCAAAAGCTCTTAATATTTTTCCTTGGCTTTGCAGACTTGCATGTTAGAATCAGGCAGTTTCTGACAGGCTATAAATTTCTCAATTACCAAACTGAATGCTAACCACCTGGAATAGAATCATGACCTCAATACAGGTCAAAATGTCAAAATACGCAACCATGCATAAGTCAGCTTTTCTTGATTGTGTCCACAGAGGAACCTGTACAAATTGCTTCATTTAATGGCTCGTATGGAAAGAATGCTATTAATAATAAGGAAATCAAACATTAATATGTATGTTTAATTCAGACAAAAATGCAAATAGATGTACTGATCCATTGGAAAATAAATTCCAAAGAAATTAATACTGCTTTTGAATCACCACAACATTTTTTTTTTGTTGTTAGTTGCGAAGTCGTGTCCAACCCATCGTGACCCCATGGACAATGTTCCTCCAGGCCTTCCTGTTATCTACCATCTTCTAGTGTCCATTTAAGGTCATGCTTACTGCTTCGGTGACTCAATCCAGCCACTTCATTCCCTGCCATCACCTTCTTCTTTTGCCCTCAATCTTTCCCAGCATTAGGGTCTTCTCCAGGGACTCCTTCCTTCTCATAAGATGGCCAAAGTATTTGAACATTTTTACAAGCTGAATTTTAAGTTCTTGAAAGACTAACAATATTTCTTCTTGCATCTTTAATATTTAGTATCAATTTTGTTGATCTTTTTAGCATTTCACATATAAAACAATAGGTACTGACATTATTGAGTTAATTTGTGCAACCTTTTTGAAAGCCACATGTATGTTTCCACCAAAAATTTATATCATTTCTAGATAGTTCACATAAAATTGGATTTTAATTGGATTTGCTTTAGTACTAGAAATCATAAAATTTAAATATAAATATTTAAAATATTCAAAATGTTAATTCAAAATGTTGCCTAGCAGTCTGATTTTTGAAATAAATTCAGTTGGACCATTCCTATTCAGAAATCCCATCTGTTTTTGGATTCCAGCCTTTCCTCTTTCGGTCCTCTATTCTGCACCAAATAACAATTTATTTCAGAACAGGCAGCATGATGCACTATGGCAAAATCAGCATGGTCAGTTGTTAAATAGGAGCATTAAAAAGTTATGCCTGACTAACTCTCCAGTTGTGAAAATAACTAAATATATAAACTCAGCATGTTTAAATTCAGAAAAAAAACATTAAACAAGGTGAATAGTACTGACGGATTTCACTGAAAAAAAATATGTGTATTTTATTGAGGTGTTCTAAATGGAAGGATTATTTTGTGTTTTCAATACCCCAGCTGCAAATAATAACTGCAATGTTGGTTTTTTAGATGGGTTTTTAATATAGCTTAACACAACAAAGAATTTAGATAACATTACCCTATAAATGTAAAAATTAGGAGTAATTGTTACATTTAATGCACCACAGAAGGATTTAATAGTTGTGCAAAGAGTATTATGTGCATATGTGCACGTATGCGTGTTGATATAATCTGTTGTACCAATGGGTCAGAATTTGTTCATTCCAGTTCAGAATAGATGATACACAACTTTACTAAATGGACTTTATGCTGAAATTTCAGCTGATGATGCTACTGCCCTCTCTAGGTTGCCATGCCAGAAGTATGAATGATGTAAGTGGGAGTTTATCTTTGAGCTAATGATTGACTTAACTGCGTTTTGACAGAAGAACTTCAAACAGTTTTTTATGTTTGCTTTGGGATTTTGCACCTGTTATCTCCTGCTGCAATATTATTTTTAGCCAAGTTTAGAAATCTTTGGATGTAGCTGACCCCTAACTGCATCATTTCACCTTGGGTCACACACCCCGATGCTTGCCCAAAACCGTGCTAAATCTTAATTTCATTTTCAAAACGCCTACTGTGATAGGAAGAAATCCCCCCTCCCCATTTTATTTCTTCACTTTTAAGCAAGCCAGTTGAAGAATATGGAAGAGAACTAGCAAGCAACCTGCAGTATCGAGCGCATTTCTATTCGAGCATAATCGTTTTGGGTTCTCCGGATCTCATGATATTGCCTCACGAAAAGTGGAAATTTAAAGCTCCGCTGTCGCACAAAACGAAATGGGGGTGGGGGTGGTTGGGTGTGAAGAGAACGAACGGACGTGGCATCTCTTAAGATTTGCGAGGCTTGTGGATAATCCGATCGAATCGGAAGGCTTCGCCTTCTATTGCAGTTGTCAAGATTAGCAATAATTGGTTACATGTGAGGGATCTTTGGGGGCTGGGACCTCCTCCCTTCTTCCATTGATGGGGCCTCTCGCTGTGCATTTCGCCCCACAATTCCGTTTGCGCTGCAGAGTTTAAGCACCGTATCGCTTCGGACCTTATCTTGTATGATAAGACAGTAAGAGAGCCGGGAAAAGCGGAGGGCTCTCAAAGAGCAGCTCCTTGAAGCCTTTGGCGGCGACGCTGGGGGTGTCTTTTATTTTAGCCTGCCCAGGGACCTATAGCTGACTGAAAGGACCGAGTTGGTACCTCCCTCTGCTCTCCTTAGATATTTGGTACGTTCCTCCTCTGAGCGCCAGAAGAGAGAGAGGGGGGAGAGAGAGAGAGAGAGAGGCTAGCGAAACCTGCAGCTTGAGTGCGAGCGTCTCTTTGGCGCTGCGGTACGGGGAGGAGAGTCGAGCTTTCATTGTCCATCTAGCGGGAAGACTTTCTTGCAGCGGAGCGGCGGCCGAGAGTTATGGAGTACTCGATGCAGGGAGAAGTATGGAAAGCGCAGACCTTGAAGGAGCTGATCGAGATCCTGCATCACTTGTTTGCCAGCGATAAAGTCAATGTGGCAGAAGTGCAAACTTTAATGGAATCTTATGAGAGCAACCCAGAGGAGTGGACCAAATATGCCAAGTTTGACCAATTCAGGTAATTGGGGGGGCGGGGGGAGGACCACTGGGAGAGAGGAAATGAATGTCTGCTATGCCGAATTATAGCCTCGGAGGCTTCAGTTGTTACTGAAGGCAGAGAAAGAAATGCATCTGGTGCTCAGCCCTTATATACAAACCCGCTCCCTTCCGTTGCCCCCTCCCAATATAAGGTGTGCCAGACTTTGTTAACGCGAATCGCGTTACATGTATCTAATTTGCAGCTTTCATTTTTTAAAAATTATGCAAAACGAAATAATGTTTTGTTACCAACCTGGTTCCCATGGCTGCAACTGAGATTAAGTTCGATTTTATAAAAAAGAAAAATAACTTGGATCAAGGGTGGGCCACGCAATCCAGCGCTGGTTGCCAATTTAGAAATGAATGGGGTACCTTAGAAACAGCTGGGGAGAGATGCATTGGCAAAACTCCCAGGCTGTCTTGCCCAGACCTACTTGCAATGTGACACTTTTTATGCTGCAGAACCTCCTTGGTTCCCATTCGAAGTGCCCCGTTTCCGGGAACCAACCTTCGTGTCAAAGGAGGTCTTACTAGTTTTGTCCTGCCTTTGCAGCCCATATGTTAGGATCTGCGTTATCTACTCCAATTTTTCTACCATTTTTGCACATTTGATTATTAGGTGTGACATTATGTTGGTCACCTGGTTTTCATTTTTTGTGATTTTCCAAAAATTTCTGCATTTATGCATACTACATCTTGAGGAATGCATCTGAAGGGGAATTAGGAGCAATATAACCATGTCTATTGCAGAAGTGTGAATGTAATTTAAAAGAATCTTTGGCTGTCTAGTAGAGATGTAGAGTGATGGCTGCCAAATACAATTGAAAATCAAATCACATAGAATGGCAAACTACAATACGACCTTGTATTTCCCATGTAATATTGCAAAGTTGTCATACTTGATTCTGATGCTAGTTTGATTTATAATCCATAGGGTGTACTACTTATAAATTGCACTCACAAACTCCCTAACAAAATTGCATGTTATACGAGCCCAGCCTGTATGGTTAGTTTCTAGCTGTATGTCTTTCAAATCCAGGAACTTCATATGAACACAGTTATCCGGTTGGAATTGACCCAATTTGTGTGTTCTGTCAGTAGTTACTGTCATGTTGATGGGGTTCTGTATGACTGCAGCAGATATTGGATTCTTTTTCCATGTGGGAATGAGATCAAAGGATAAACATCCTTACTCTGTAGAG